CCGCTGTGCCGCGTCGGGGGAGCCTGGCCTGAGGGATTGCCGCTGGGGCGCAGCCGGAGGCGGCATGGAGGCCTCCCAGGCGCACCAACTCTGGGGCCAGCGCTGGAACCACGTCCTCCTCGCCACCTTCAAGGACGGACACATGGGTGCGGAGGCCTTGAAGCTGCTCTCGGAGGCCACGGAGAGGCTCGACCGGACAGTCCATGAGACCTCCTTGCATGTCGCGGTCCTCCACGGCCCGCGCCATCAGGCGGACAAGGGAGAGCTCACGTACCGGTGCCGGGGCGACCTCATCACGCCCAAGGGCGTGCGCCGGGACCATCTCGCCGCCCTCGCGAACACCGTCGGGTTCGGCCGCCGCGAGCAAAGAAACATCTTCGAGGCCAAGGACGGGATCGAATGGGCCTTCCTGCCGGAGGCTCTCGCCGATCGCCCTGCGGATGCCTCCGCGGAGTTGACTCACAGGGAGATCACGTCCGCGCCCCGGGGCTACGCGCCAGAGGACAAGACGCCTCAGGTGAAGAACCCCGCGAATTCAGGGAGGGATGCAGCCATCTGGGCGTTGGCTGCCATGATGCATGATTTTCATCTCCACCTGAGCTCTCACCTTCCCCACCCCTCCCCTCCTCCCCCCACTGCGTCCTGCAGCGGCAGCCTCGTGAGGGATCCAGCCGACGATGGGGCGTCGGCTGCCTTTCACCACTGTTCATTTTTGGTCTCACCAAGCCTCCGGACCCCTTCCCCCCAACCTAACCTTTCTCTGCTGCCTTGCTCCGCCCCTGCCTGCCCGCGCCAATGCCTTCCCCCACGACCCCCCGCCTTCGTTCGACACTGGATGCGGAACGACTTGCCCGACGCACACGACCGACAGACGCCCACTCACAACAGCGCCGACGACCCCCGAAAACAGGTCAACGGCGTCGTCGATCACGACGGAGTCAAGCACTACGTCAATATCCTGCTCTGCGGGTTCGTGCACCACCCTGTGGCACACCCTGCTGGCGTCAGGCTACACGCCGCAGTCCACCCGCCCCGACACGAGGAGCTCCATGCCGTCCGCCATGATGGAGTCGGGCACTGCGCCGCTTACCTGCACATCGGATTCGAACAGCACCTCATGACCCACCTCCGCGGGGTCAAGCTCCACACCGACATCCAGCATCACGCAATCGAGCAGGTCAGCCGGCGACAGATCCACCTGAACGCGGTCTACAATCACCGAGACCTCCAACTCGATGGTGCCCACGGCGATGGAATCCAACACCAGACCGTCACCTGGCCCTTCGGAACCAAGCTGCGCAGTGTTGCTGATCACGATGGAGTCAAGCACCACGTCGAGGTTCGGCAGGGCGGCTGCGACCAGCACCACGCCCGGGCTTACCATAACGGGGTCAGGCACGGCGGCGCTGACCATCAGCATGGCCACGAACAGTATGACGCCACCACATGCACAGCTATCGAGCACAGCAGAATCTGGCAGTATCAAGCTGGTGACCACGGCGGAGTCGCGCCACGCGTCGCCATCCAGCGACGCGGAAACGAGCAGTACCACGTTGTCAACCACGACGGAGTCGTGCACCACGTCGCTGACGCACACTTTGGCCTCGAGGAGCACCCTGCTGCCCACTCTGACGGGATCCTGCTCCCCGTCGCCATCCATCGTCCTTGGATCGAGCAGCTCGGCACCGACCTGCAGTCCGGCATCGTGCAGCCCCGCGTTGGCAGCCGAGTCGGTGGCACGCTGCATCACGCTGTGGACCACGATGGAGCCGGGCACCACGCCTTTGTCCTACAGCACTGGTGCGAGCAGGACCACGTCCGGCACAACGGATTCGAGCATCACGTCGCCAACCATCAGCACGGACCCGAGCAGCACGGCCAGCCAGACTCACAACGAACAATGTTCTACAAGCACCGCACCTTCGAGCATCACAGCGCCTACCTCGACGGAGCTGCGCATCACGCTGGTATCCAGCATCGCGACATCAACCAGTACCACGTCGCCGACCAACCCAGAGTCGAGCACCACACCGCTATCTTGCACCGGTGGGCCTCGCCCGCCTGCGCGGCCTGCTCGTCCTGGATGGCTTCGCGGACGCAGGGAAGGCTTAAAACCCGGGGGGCGCCTTCTGACCCCCTCCCCAGGGGTCAGGATGATCTGTATCGGGCCCTGTTCTGGGGGACGCCAGCCCATCCCCGTTCCGTGCTGTCCGGCGCGTGGTACGTCCACGATTCCGTTCGTGACATTTCTCTGGAACGTGCGGTTTCGAGAGCTCGGGCGTGCGTGGCCATCGACTCGATCGCGCGGCATTGCCTCGCTAAGCTTTCCCCCGCCCCCCCACGCCACGCTGATAGGTCGCACGATCTTGCGGGTGACCCGTCGGAGGGCCCCTCCTTCCCTCCCTCCTCCCCCTTCTCCTCCTCCTCCGCTCCCCCTTTTGTCGTCTCTTCCCCCACCCCCTCCTGCCTCTCGCCGCCTCGTCTCGTTTCCTGTGCTCTTTCAGGGCTGGAACACCCTGCAGGCCCCCTGCAGGACTGGTCTGCCATCCTGTGCCTCGTCGCCAACGCCTCCTACATCCACCAGTATTGGATCGACCAGTACCACGCTCCCCACTACGGCGGCGTCGAGCACCTCGTCGATGACCAGCCGCACCGAAACGAGCACCACCACTTCGTGCCCCGCGCCGCCCACCACGACGGGGTCCACCACCGCATCCCGCTCCGGCATTACGGAATCGAGCAGTTCCACGGTGTCGACTGCGACCGCGTCGAGCATCCCCTGCACCACTGCCGCCTGGACGCTGGCTCGCCCTGGATGGCCTCCAGGACTCAGGGCCGTAACGGCCTCGGGGGTGCCCGGTCGGAGTTCCCCTCTGCCCCGCCCCCACACCTGTTCCTTCTCCCCCCCGCTTCCCCGACCCCCTCCCCGCTCGTCATCCTGCCCCTCCTTCCCCGGACCTCCCCCGCCTCCCCCAGCACCTCTCCGATCAGGGGCAATTCCACCCTGCCCCCCTCTCCTGCTGGCTTTTCCCCTCCTTTGCCTACCTCTTCTCCGCCTCCCCGCTGGCACTCTGTGCCCGTGGGGAGCGGTGGTGCCATTCCTTTTTCCCCTAGTCAGGCTGTTCTGATCCCCTTTGAGCCCGCCTGCCCTTGGCCGGAGCTGCGCGACCTGCACGTCGTGGGCGCCCCGCCTGCTGGGCCGCCGCGGGGCTCACCGCGCCTCCGTGCCAGGACGACCGGGATCCAGAGTACACAGAACTTGACCTTAGGTAAAAGCGGGTCCCAGTTTTGTCCCCCTCCCCACGGTCTCCCCGCCGACCTTGCCTTCGCTTTGGATCTTTTTTTCACCCCCTGTGACCAGGCGCACCCCCCCCCCTCCGGCTACCAGCTCTCCGCCTCGCCCTCCGATTCCGCCTCTGCCCCCCACCCCCCTGACGGGGTGAGAGGGCGGGGGACCTTTCTGCTCACCGCAGGGCCCGTGAAGGACCTAACACCTACCCACCTGCGAGGAACTTGCATGCTGGTGCACTCGCTCTTGCCGACGCCGCGGGGCATCCAGAACATCGACGCGGCCAGGCAGCACCACGACCAGCTGGATCCCGACTCCTTGGAGGACGACGCGTTCGCGGAGATGCCCGGACGGCCCCGAACGCCACCACCAGCCTCCGCGCGGCTACCACCGACGACCTGCACCTCCAGGCCCTCTTCTACTTGTACGTCCTGCCCGCCCTCCACGCCAGGCGCCCACGCGAACATGGACTTCAGGTCCCTCTTCCGGCGACCGGCCTCCAGGGCCCTCCCCTGGCCTGCCGAGGCCCCGCGCACCACAGCTGCCGAGTTGTATTTCCTCCGGCACGTGCGTTCTTGCGCGGCCTCTTCGACCGGATGCACGTGCAGCGGGCGCTCGAGTCCGGCAGCCCCGATCAACGCCATGAACGGCGTGACGGACTCGTTCAACGCAGTTGTGCGCATCGTTTGGTTCCTCCTCGACCCGCTGCTCAACGCTGCCACTCATGCTGGTTGGCTTGTCCTGCAGGGTGCACGCCTGGCGCTGCGCGTTCGTGGAGCCGCGCTGCTCCGGCCAGCTCCCGTCGCAGCTGCGTGCCATCTTCTGCATGGCGGACTGGGGCTTCGCACTCTCCCAGCGGTTCTCACCTTGATCTTCGTGCTCATGGACTTCCACACCTACCCTCTGGCCTGCCGCGCCCTGAGTGCCGCCGCCGCTTGCACGCTAGCCCCATGCCCCCTCGCCGGACGCCTCGCTTTCAGCATTGCCGCTGCCTGGGCACCATCCTTCCCGGAGCGCGAGCGCAGCCGCAACCGCCGCAGCTCGGAGGAGGAATCCGCCCATGCAGGAGGGCGCTATTCTGCCCGGCCCAGCGACGCCACCAGAGCAGGCGCGCGCGTCCTCCGCCGCAACCTCACGGATAGCGACGCGCCTCGCTCGCAGCTTGACTCGGCCTTCTTCGAGCCAGGAGCCGAAGAGCCGCCCAATATGGCCTCCCTTCACCTTGACCCTCCTGATATGCAGGTCGACGCGGGGACACCGCTCGAGGAATCGCGTCGCGCGGCACTCCCGCCAGCCCCTGCCTTGGCCGCGATGGCAAGCGCCGTTGCTGCGGGACCTCCTGCCGCCGCCAGCGCGGGATCCTCGAGCGCCAGCGCCGCCCCCGCGCAGATGGCCGTCGAGGCTGGCGTCCAGCAGCCAGGAGCTGGCAGTGATGAGGCCACCTGCCCAACTTGCCACTCCGCCGTCGCCGCCCGCCCGCCCCCACCGCCCGCTGCCGCGGCTGGCGGGGCCCCCCTCGAGGAGTCCCGCCGCGCCGCCGCTCTCGCGGAGGCACGGGGCCCCGCTGCGCCACAGCCGCCCCTCCCCGCCGATGGTGCCACCGGCGCGGCGCCCTCGAGCGCCAGCGCCGCCCCCGCACGGATGGCGGTCAATGCCGGCGCCCAGCAGCCAGGGGCCAGCAATGCCGAAGCCGTCTGCTCGATCTGCCAGTCCGCTGTCACCTGGTGCAGGTGCTCGCGAGCTGCGGCCCCCGCCAGCGCCTCGCACCCACCGGGCCCAGGGCCTCCCGCCGCCGCCGCTGCCCGCCCACCGCCGCCTTCTGCTGTGGCCGGTGGCCGGCCGGCCCGCGGCGCGGCCCCCGCGTTCGCCCGGGCGCGCGCCGCCGCGCGGGCATCCGCCGTGCCCGAGCACGCCGGAGAAACACCGCCGCAACCTCCCGACCCACACGCTGCCCCACACGTGCCCTTCCGTAACGGGCACTACTGGTGCCCATGGTGCCCAGACCGTGGCTTCCGCACGCCTGGCGGTTTCGTGCGGCACCTCACGGCGACGCACACCGGCCATGCCATGGACGCCGACATGCGGGACACGGTCGTCGCCCTCCAGCGCAGCGTCTGCGCCGACTCCACTTGCGGCGGCCTCCGGCCACTTGGCCAACGCACGTGCACCCGCTGCCGGCAGCCGACGCCCTGCCGCCCTCCCGTCGTCGGCGACATCATCACGGGCGCCGCGACTGCAGCGCACCGCGCGCGAGGCCGCGACGACGCCGCGGCTACCCCAGATGCC